TAATAAAACAATTTCATAATTTAAAGGGTTGAGTATCTTATGGAGAACAAAATGCTGAATAGTATTATATATTTAAGTGTTAAATTATGAAATTGTTTTATTAGAGAGAAATATGAATGTACTTGTACGGGATTTTGTATTTATTTTTTAACACATATCATTTATATTTCTCTCTAATAAAACAATTTCATAATTTAACACTTAAATATATAATACTATTCAGCATATTGTTCTCCATAAGATACTCAGCCCTATGTAGGCCTAACTTACTTCATTTCGAAGCTTTTGCAAATACGACCGTAGGTCCCCCAAAGGACAGTATTCCACCATTAAAGCAACGGTTCTTCCTGTGGTTGTAAACGCTCTAAGACTAACAATATGAGGATGCTTTCCAATGAACTTCAGTAGTTCTATTTCCTGAAGCAACTGTTTTTTCTCCTCATCGGAAGCACTATCTATTTTAGAGAAAAACTTAATATAACATAAAATAAATCTCATACTTATATGTAATGCGATACAATGTTCTTTGACATGAAAACAGATTTCTGTTTTTGTATTAGCAAGTCATTGAAATGCAGTATTCTGGCCTAATAAATGAATCAATTGAAATTATAACGAAAATGGCTTGAAACTTTGATAATTATAAAATAATATAAGGACACAATAAAAAGAAAAACGACGAATGTTGTTTTCTATCTCAAAGTTAACATTTAAACGTCTTCAAAGATTGTAACAAATTGTTTGTTTGTTGACGTTCATGCAAAGTTAATTGAAGGCTATCTTCGCTAGCTGTGCCTAATTTTGAAGCGGTAGACAACGGGAAAGGCAGCTAGGCAACACTACCCGTCGCCAACACTTGTCAGACAGAATAGTGGGATTTGACGGAACTCTTATAACCACGGCTACAAATTACGAAGCGAAATGTTTTTGTTGTTGTTGTTGTTTTGTATCTTGCGGGATGCGAACCACAAACCCTCAACTCAAAATTCTGGAACGCTAGCCAGTGGGCGGCGCCCAGCTTATAAAAAATAGAACTTTGATCAACCTAGTGAGAGTTACAGTGTATATCTCCGAAAACAACAGCTCAAAATTCTGGCATGGTAGCCAGTGGGCGGCGCCCGGCTAATATAAAATAGAATTTTGATCAACCGTGTAATAGTTACAGTTTATATCTCCGAAAACAACAGCTCAAAATTCTGGCATGCTAGCCAGTGGGCGGCGCCCGGCTAATAAAAAATAGAACTTTGATCAACTGTGTAATAGTTACAGTTTATATCTCCGAAAACAACAGCTCAAAATTCTGGCATGCTAGCCAGTGGGCGGGGCCCGGCTAACAAAAAATAGAACTTTGATTAACCATGTAAGAGTTACAGTTTATACTTCCATACAACATAGCAAACACTGTCGTAAATTAGTTTTACTTTTGTATAAAGTTCTTTTACGGTTCAAAGAAATTATTATTATTAATAACAAAAAGTTACGTGATATATTTATTCATGGATAATTAATGTTTGTTATACTGCGTTTTGTTTAGGTTGCTTAATTATAGCCATCTTATTTTACGCAGCTAAATAAACTTTTTTTGTTTATTTGTTGTTAAGTGCAAAGCTACACAATGGGGTATCTGAGTTCTGTCCATCGGATGTATCAAAACTCGATTTCTTTCGTTATTAGTTCTCTGACTTACTGCTGAACAACCGGGGGGGGGGGCGCTAAATCGGTCTGAAGTGTGACAGAATGATGTGTGTTAATGTCTTAAAACATTGAATCATTTTAAGAAGAATATAACTTTAAAATTTTTTCAGGTCATCTCTACTAACATAATCACCTATGAATTGTTCAAAATTAAAATTATAAACGAAATAGATTTCATGGGAAAGTTAACTAATATAATAATTGCATAATAAAGTTAGCTGATATAATAACTGCATAAAATAGTTAACTAATATAATAACTGCATAATATAGTTAACTAATATAATAATTGCATAATATAGTTAACTAATATAATAATTGCATAATAAAGTTAGTTGATATAATAACTGCATAATATAGTTAGCTGATATAATAACTGCATAATATAGTTAACTAATATAATAACTGCATAATAAAGATAACTAATATAATAACTGCATAATGTAGTTAACTAATATAATAACTGCATAATAAAGTTAACTAATATAATAATTACATAAAATAGTTAACTTTTATAATAACTACATAATATAGTTAACTAATTTAATAATTGCATAATAAAGTTAACTAATATAATAATAATGTTATGTTTTGTATGCACTTTGCGGCTTTTTTCATTATATCGAATCATAGTAAAAAAAAAGAACAACGCCTGCAAATCTTAAATTAAATTATTTAAAAATGGTTAAAATATTAAACTGATACCACATTAAGAGGAAATTGCATTGTGTAAAGAAATTTTAAAAGTAACGTCATTCTCTCGAAAACAAGTAATACTAATGAAGAAGTACACGTTATATTCATTTTCTAACAGCTAATCCATACCTGGTCTCGTTCTTATCAGGAAACTAAACACGACGGAACTCAACAAACACTGTTTATATTTTTAACATACTTATTAAATTGATTCTGATTAATTAAACCAAGAAATACTTTTGTTCAATGAAATATAAGTTGGTTATTAATACGGAAGAAACATTAATATGTTTCACCTTTAGTCATCTTGACTGCTACTGTTTCCTTAACTTTTCCAATCCATATTGTTCCTTTACAAACCACCCCGAATGCTCCCTGACCAATAACTTCATAGATTCTTAGTTTATTTAAGTCGACTTCATGAGGAACTCTTTTCTTCCTCGGAAACACATCTCTGTTAGGCCGCCGATGTAGAAATATGGGCATTTCCTCGGTTGAAACTATCTGTATTGATAAAACGATATGAAGTTTTTTCAAAAATAAGTTTTTGTTGCGGTAAGAAAAATAAAATTGAATTTAAAATAAGAAAAAAAAACGTGTAAAGTGTGTTTATTACCTATCATACTATCGATAGCCTTACAAATCATCAAGGTAAAGGTATTTTGTATTACATCCCTCAACTTGAAGATGAACATTTTCAGGTCTACATACGTGGTTTAGTATATTAAGTTTTCGTTTCTCTTAAGCATAATATAATGTAAAGACTCTCATAAAGCTCTTCAAACGTCCCATCAAAAATAATTAGCCGTACTTTCATGGTAGTTGAATCTACAACACCAGGGTTGATCTGTAGTAATAAAATATAGCCTAAAAACTGACAATGGCATTTTTTGATTAATAATGTGGACAAAATGTTGACATAAGATGCCTGTAAAATACAAAAACTTGTTCATTCAAAAAACAAAAGTTGATACCTTTAAAAGACAACATTTATTATACTAAACAGGAAAAATGTTTTATATAGGTAGATGTACTGATCTGGTGACGAAATATCAGCTGATCTAACTTCAGAAGCTTAGAGGTCATTGTAAGTGGTCAAATTTAAATTGTCTGCGGTCTTGGAAAATAAAAATCTTACATAAGTATAGTCAACATCATTTTAAAGCACTTTTGATTTTTTTTTACTGAATTTTGAAGCCCATGCTTGTACATATGATGTCAGAAATTCAATTATTTTAGCACTGCAAATTCAAAAATATGCCTAGAATTTCCCGCTGACGGTTTGAACAGTCAAACAAGTGTAATTTTTTATGCTTAACTTTTCTCTTTTTTAATGCACTTAAATAATGGCAGTGCCACTGTTGAAAGGGTTTATACTCAAGTATTATCAGAACACGTTATTACTTTGTTGCTGAATGATTTCCGTCCAGTCATAGTGCATGTTGAGTTGAGGAGTAATAATGAGGCGCACACTATTTTGTTATTAATCCTGGTTTAATGTCACCACCTTTAAAACTACCGAACTTTAAAGATGTGAAAAATACAGTTTTAGATTATTGCTCTTTTTAAGGTGTCTAAACAAACAAAATCAAAACTGATGTCTGCCAGTGTTGTTATTTGTTCGTTTTGGGGTTGTTGTTCCTTCACTTATGCAACATTTAAGTATAACAGAAACGTAGAGTACTCCAAGTTTCCACACATAACATCAAGTTCAAGTATAAGAAAAACGTACAGTACTCCAAGTTTACACACACATAACATGAAGTTCAAGTATAAGAAAAACGTACAGTACTTCAAGTTTACACACACATAACATCAAGTTCAAGAATAAGAAAAACGTACAGTACTTCAAGTTTACACACACATAACATCAAGTTCAAGTATAAGAAAAACGTACAGTACACCAACTTTCCTCCAATGTCATGACCAGCTCAGGTACGTTTTCCCTTTGAAAAAATAATATAATTTTGTTTACACACTAGAAAAATTCCATGCCCAACTTGGACAGGTTTCCTGTTAAATTAAAATTTCGTCATCATTTTTTTTTCTCTCGTGGAACACGATCTTTCAGTGAAGTAGTTGAGATTCCGAACAAAAAACAACTTAAAAAGTTTTTGTGTGCGGAATCTGAACAACTTAAAAAAAAAGTTATTCGGACAAGATGTTTTTATTCGGAGAAAGTTTAACAGAAAATTCTGTAGGACGTAACATAATTACCGTTTCATAAGAAAGTCTTGTATTGAAAATTCTTGTATAGTGAAGCTAAAAAATAAATACCTTTTTCTTCATTACATGGCCAGACTTTCGACGTGTGATCTTCTTCCTCATCATCCAAATGGAAGAAATAAGAAAACATAAAACAATGCCACCACAGAGTGTGGTTAGAGTGATGATTGTAAGCCTTGGATTCTTGTTTTCCTCTGTATCTAAACATATATTACATGTGTTGACGTATCAGGTATGTTTCTTACAAACAACAAAGACAGCAGTAAATGATTATCCTTTCCTGTTTATGGGTCAACTAAACTTACGCCAAAATTTCAGAAACAGAAAAGGGTTACTTCAAAACATACTTGATGTCAATAAACGAGAAAAACAAAACAAATGTAACATTGTTTATAAAAATCTGAATTTATGTTATTTAATACTAGCTGGAGTACCCGTCCCCTTGGATGGAAGTTATGTAAATTCATGATTAATAAAAGGTTATCTTAGGACAT